TTTTTTTCGTTCATTCAAGATTGGGCTTGAGCTAGCGCGCCTTTGCACCCCCTCCCCTCCCCTCCTTTCCCCTTTGCTCTCGTTTCCATGGTTATTGCATTTCTTGAATCTATGAATATAATGAGTCGTCTATCCATAGTCCCCACATACTACTAGAAGGTTGATTTACTTTGTACATAGACTTGACTACGGTCCGAATATAATCTAGTGCAAACTGTGACCACAAGATAAGACACATGAATTCATTGTACATCTTGCATGAAAACTTGGAAGACTTTGCAAAAATAATGAATAATAGTTGGTATGGAACATACCCCTTTTATGAAAATAAGGGACATACAGAGCTTATTCTTTATGACGTGTAAAAAAGAGGGGTATCCCTATTATATATATACGAAGATATTTGAATTATTAGGATCCAATTCGAAAACAATGGGTTTTAAAACAATAGGTTCCAATTCTCAGGAGATTGGATTGTTTTTGTTTTGTTCCCCAGATTGAGCTGCTTTGACGTCACATGCAAGGAGTCCATTGGTTTAAAGTTGCTGTTGTGAGAGCTGTGACGAAGAAATAAAAGACGCGTTGTGTGCATTTGTAAAGCACGCAGAGGTTGGCAAAACACGAAAGAAGTGTTAGAAAAAAAACAAACAGTCAGAGTTTTATTTAAAAAAATACGAATTACCATAACGTCATTTTGAAAAGGAATGATGCTAATGAAAGTGCGCTCGCGCTTTGTGCTTTCACAAGGAAGATTGGCAAATATTTTATCCCAATTCTTTTAAACGTACTTTTGCATTCTTGTTGTGTGCAATCCACGAGCCCCATTTCAATGCCATTTTCGTCAGCTTCTGGACAGACTTTATTTCTGTCAACTGCGCTGCAAAACCTTTGACGAATTTTATAACAATCATCGGTGCAATCACTCCAAGAAGTCCATGAACTCCAGCCAACTGAAGATGTGCCTGGAAAAGAATAAGTTTCAAAATATGATAGATAAGTTACTGCCAATGATAGTCTGATGAAGATCACATCGAGTTAAAGGACATCTCCTACTATTCTATCTTATAATTATTTATTTTTCTTTTGTGTTGATCAAAACATATAAGATATGTATTAAGAAAAACGTCATTTAACTGGATGTCAATATTTGCTTCTTAATATCATGATTAAGATTATTACAAGGACCTTTGAGACTCATAATAAACCCTTAGACTACATTCAAATACATTCATAACAAACCCTTAAACTACAAGAAAGCATGGACTA